AAGTATTTCCTAAAATCCACATGGAAGCACAAATGGCTTTAAACACCTGGACATATATAGATTCTTCATCTTATATATATATATTTATAGATATTTATAACAGTAAAGATATGTTTCTCATTACTACAATATACTTGTTTAACTCCTTTAAGCAGCTGGGAAGAAAAAAAACCCAAACAAAACAGTTTCACTACAGTCACACCTGATATGTGTTTGTCACAAAATACAAACAGAACAAGCCATGTGTGAGATTCGAGTCAGACCACTCCAGGACAGAACAGCTAAGAGGCAGGCAGAGGGAGCAGGCCTACATGTCAAATGGTGGTTTTGGGCTCTCCGGGCGGGAGGGACTGGCCTTGCCCGGCCGGCTGGAGTTTAACGACAAGAAAAACAAAGAAAAAAGGAAAAGGGGAAGGGAAGGAAAAGGGGGGGGGGAGAAGTAGTAAAACAATAGTTAAAATACAGAAAGGAACTGGCATCAGAACCATAGAGGATCCACAACAGACGTTAAGAGCAATAGCACTGAAATAAGAGAACTTAAATCTGAATCAGGCCTGGTTGAAAGCCTGCAACGCAGGTGGCTCATTTAACGCTGGTAGAGACAGGACATCCGAGATGTACAGGGTTGATACATTTTTAATTCTCAAGTCTTTTTTTTTTTTTAAATACATGTAGCGTGAAAAGTAAAAACCAAACCTTAAGAAGATGAGTTGCGATCAACAACGGTTACGAGTTTCCCCAAACACGTACCATCCACATGCAAGAAGAAAAGGCTACGGAAGAAGTCACCACAGTACCCAAAAAACACTGAAGGATGTGCTTATTCAAAGCGGAAATATTTTCAACAAAACATTACACAGCAAACTCCCTGAAAACATTTGGTTGTCCGTTTGCGAGGGGGGAGCAGCATATCTATTCCCCTCTCCCTGCTGGGTTCAGGAAAGTCAGCCAAAAACGATGATGCAAGACAACCGCTGGCAGGAGCCAGCGCGTCTCTCCGGCAGGATTGCCCCAGCTCTCCTGGGGAGCCGGGCGCGAGCAGGTCCGCGTGCATCCCTGCACGCCGCGGTGTGCGCGCTATCTCAGACTTCACTCTAGCAGGACTATGCCGATCCATTGAGTTCCCCCCTTTCTTGATCTCCCTGCCTCACTTTGACATAAGGTTGATTGCACTGTTCCCAACATGAGTTTTTGCACCTTAGAAGTCAAACTAATACACAGGACGTTTAATCTGTTCCTAACGGTGTCACATGTTTTGACAGTATTTTTCTTCTAAGTCACACTTTTGTCTTCTTAACTACAAGAAAAGAAAATAGCTACAGATCAGTCCTAGGTGCTACAGCTAACTGATGCAGGCAGGACACTTATCCAGGCTAGACCGGGCAGATGAAATAACTGGACGGACAGCCACCACTTGGACTTAAGGACGTCCCTGGGGCTGATCTCTCCAAGGAGCCTGTGTACTTCAGGGATCCATGCCACTGAATGAAGGCTACTCTACGCTCACAAAGCAATACGGGACGCATGAGTGAAGACGAAGAGCTCGATCACTAGGCTAGTGTTTCACGACACACCGGGAAGGGGTGGTGGGAGGCAGAGATGCGGGATGGATGAGGGGAGTGACTGTGGCTGCGGAAGGGAGGGTGGAATGGGGAAGCAACCAGCACGGCATTCGTCGCCAGCTGTCTACAGCCTCGAGTTATAAATCTAAGAGGGACGGTTCAGCCGGTCGGATTATGGTAGGTCGAGTAGGTGAGGCGGGGCCCCTTCTGCTGTGAAAAAGCAGAAAACAAAAACAAGAGAACACACACTGTGGTTAGCACAGCAATCGCAGTCACAATCACACATGCTTCTCCACCTCGCCTGAGCCAGCAAGAGAATAAAACTTGAGGCACAAACTACCAGGGTGCAACTCCACAAAGGAGACTTGCAGGTTTATTTCAGGCCTCGCACTGGCCTTTCTGCACAGCATGGATCACCAGTAAAGCAGTCTGCTGGACAGCCAGTTTTGCTTTCCCTCTGAAATTTGGAAGTGCAGAGATTTATCGCCAGTGAGTGCACTGGCTCCGGAATGAAGGTTGAGAAGCATGGACAACAGTGAGCTCCTGTATCAAGCACATGACAGTCACACAGCATGGATGGGGTCCTCTGAGACACGCTGCTGTCAGAGGCTCTTGGCTGGTTTGGAGGAGCACCTTCTTCCCCTGCCCTCGGGGCTACTGCAAGCCTGAGATTCCCTATTCCAATACATGACACTGATCTTTGATGTTAGGGGCAAGCCTGCTGCTTTCAGGTCTCTAGTTCTAGCGCTCAGCAAATGCAGCTTCTACTTACTTCAATAAAAGGATCTTTGGCCATTGCTACTCCACTCTCTCTCAGCTCTTTTGCTGATACTTTAGCTACATAAATGGGCGGCAACTTAAGTGTTTGCCCTCTGCATGGATTAAGTGTTCTAGGATCTTTCCTGCACAGGACTGGGGAAAAACAAAACCCCAGAAAACACAAGACAACACCCCTGCCATCTCTCTCAACTCATTACTTGAAAGATCACTTCAGACTCAGATTACAGGCTTTAAGTCCACAAATAAAAAAAAGCGTTCTGTACGTCAGTGAGTCCAATCTATGTTTTTCCTTTAAAGCACGCTCCCTGCAGTGTCTGCAACCTAAAGAGCATCACGATGGTGCATCATTGTCATTAAATTGTTCAGTACCAAGGCAGAGTAGTTTTACAGTCCGAACTGTCTGAAACGCAAAAAGGAAACCCAACAGGATGCAGACCAAGCAGAGGGGAAGTATTTGCACTGATCCTACAGAGCCAGGTGTCACAGAATGAAGGCCTGAACAATCCCACACCAACAAGCTTTAATTTAGGTTACAGAGAATCAGCTGACTGTTGGACATGAAGGCCCTCCCCCAGCACAGGGGCTGAGGGAAGGCAAGAGGGGCAGAGGAGGATATTTGCACCAGTATGGTCTTCTGAGGTAGGGAAGTCTTCATTTTGCACCTACTGCAAGTCTATAATCACGCTGGTACCAGAGGAGCTACGCTCCCATAAATTGAGGCAAGCTCCCTCATCCTAACAAATGAGCCAGAGCAACTCTACAGTCCTGTTTATTAGACCTCAGCAGAATTTATTGCTCCATATCTATTAAGCCCCAGATCTCAAAACAATTACAACTACTTGTTCCTTACCTTGGAAAATGATACATAAAAATAAGCTTCAGGCATTAAAACATTTCCAAATGTTATTTCCTTGACTGAAAATGTCAATGGGGACTGCAAGACCCCATTGTCAGCATGCCAGTCAAGTTACTGCTCCTGTACAGCAAATAATGATGGGATTGAGCTCACCTGGAAATTACAACCACTTTGGAAGGATGCTGAAATGATACTATCTCCCAGAAGCAAACCTTGCAATGAGATGTTACAGCTGGGGAATCTGTGACCCGGAGCTTCATGACATGTGGGATCTGTGCATCATCTCTGAAGGGTGCTCATGGTGTAAATGCAGCCATTCGATGGCTACTACCGTCATCGGAACAGTAATAGCACTTGAATTAAAATGTTACAAAACTTCAGCAAAACCTTTAGTGAGATGCTGTTGCACTGTCACGCATGGTCGAGGGCATTTTTTGAGAAGCTTGAAGGGCTTTTTGCATTTCAGGAGTTTGGACAGGTTGCCCTAACAGCCTCTGTGGATTTACATGAAAAGGATGCTTGAAGTTGCTGGACTATGTAATGTGTCCTGGCAAGGGAGGCCACTTGACCCTACCAAAATAAATAGGGCTGAAAGAAGCACACGTAATTTTCAGGTAGATGGGCTGCTTTTTTTGTAATATACCATGATTGATTTTTGCAGACAGTTCTTTCTCTCAGCACTCAGAGCATTTTAAGGGGGGGGGGGGTGTCACTTTTTAAAGTTAACAGCTTTTGTCTCTGCTCAGATTTTCTGGAGACACTTGCAGAATCTGCCTGGTGAGGTTACAGAAGGCTCTGAAAATGGTTTCCCAGCACAAAAAGGGACAGAGAAGCCTCTCAGGCAACATTTACCCCTGAAATGCTGCTTCACTCTGTCTCACTACATTGCTAGCCAAGCCCTTTTACATCATTGAAAAGTCACTTTCCTCCGTCAGGACAAAAAGGAACAAAGTTTTGCTCACGGGGAAGCCTCTGGCAGTCACCAGTACATGGGAGGTAAGACTCGAGTCCTGGCAGGAGCCCCAGGAGACCAGTTACACTGACAGTCGTGGTCTTTCAAGCCATACCCAGACAGAACACTGAGCTCATCACATCTAGACACCAACAGGCTACTAGAGAGTTCTGCTGATAAGGACCTAACAGAGATGGTAAAACATAACATTTATTCCCTTGGGCTGCAAAAGGTTTTGGGTGGGGTTTTTTGGGTTGTTTGGGTTTTTGGTGTTGTTTTGTGTTTTAATTTTTTATTTCCTTGGTGCTCTTTATGCCAGATTAAGAACAGAACGCCCCGTAACAGCGAGTCCCAGAATGAGGTACAGACAACAGCAAGCCTCTTTCCTGAGGTTGTTCACCAAGAAGCATGTTTCTAGGGCTGCCAGGGATGTCTGCAGTAGGCAGAGTATTGGAGGAAACTGCCGATTGCTCCAACACCTCTGCAGTATGTCATCAGTGAGGAGGGCTGACTGATGACGTCCTCAAAGATGTCAATCACTGAAAAAAATCACTGCATTGGTTTGACATGATGTGGCACCTCTCGGCTCTAACTGCAGTTACATGCAGCAGTTAACAGACACCATCTGCTGCAAGATGGGAGCTAGCTGTCAACTCCCCTGCCCTGGAGCAGGGGTTTGAACTCATGCTATTCTTAAGCTAGGACTTCAGCACATACTCCTCCCCAGCCCTCTCTGCCACAACCAGCAGCAAGGGAATCTACAGAAACTACTGCTCCACTCCTCTCAGTCAGACCTTTCACTTCAAGAAACAACATCCACAGAGAAAGGGCCTAATGCACCCATGCCTGCCCTGCTCTGCCCTACCTACCCCTTTGTCAATAAGGGCTGGAGGTTTCCAGGAAAAATACTCAGGAGAATTTGTCAGATCTTCTTCGCACCCCCACCCTCAGCATTAACAGGACAAGGTAGAGTTGTTGGGCCAGCACAGCGCACGTGAGCTTGCCCCAATACCCTGCTACTTCACTGAACAAGTACAATGCTGCAAAATGCAGGGAGAGAGAGGAAAGGGAAACAGGCAGGAGCTCAGGGCAGAGCGTCTGGGGATACGGATCACTAAACCCTTCCTCTCGCAGGGGCAGAAGGCAGAGGAGAGAAGGCAGTTTGAATGGAAGCAGAAGAGTAACCTAGAAGGTAAAGGGTCAAGTGGAGAACAAGCAAAGGGAGTTCACTTCTAACGGTGATGATGGACACAAGGATAATAGGGAACATTCAATGTCAGAGTTACCCTGCACTCAAACATGGAAGTCCTGACATTAATGACCCAAACTCCTCCTGCCTTCCATGAGCACTAGGGACACAGTGAGGAGGGGAGCACTTCTCCAGCCAGACATTAGAATATAAGAAGAGGAGTCTGAACTAGCAGCTCCCCAAGTCTCTGTCTTAATCCTAACAGAGCTGACAAACCAAATCAAAACAGAGTTCATTCAGCTGATCTCCCAGTCAGTGTGGATATAAGCCAAATGAAGGACACAGTTTAGACCTTGCTGCCAGAGCTCATTCCCCCATCCCACCTCCTCTATCTGGAAGCAGATAAATGGTCCTCTAGTAACCTTAAGTCAGGTACTGAGGCTTTCCCAGCTCCTGCAGCTCAAGCAGCTGCTCTGTCTCTGATCAGCCAGTTTTCTGTTCAAGACTCCTCCCTTTATGAGATCCTGGCAGAGGTGGTTCATCAGACAAGGGACTCTGTTACTAACACAAGAACTAGGCAGCGGAGGTGAGCTGCAGAGCAAATGGAGGATGGGGACACAATGACTCATGCATTGCAGGGAGAGTGCAAAACGTACCGTGGCTGCCAGTCCTCAGGGGTCACTGATAGTGATTCTGAAAGACAACATGAAATCAACATGGCAGTTCAGACAGTTCAAGGCAGAGGCCACACAGACTGTCAGGAAGGTGGAACAGAGAGACACACGCGCTTGCACAGACACGCATTCGCACGTCCCCCTCCAGAACACGGCATGAGTGTGCACTGCCGGGTAGGGCTCCACTCAGCCACGCAGGACTTCGCACGCACAATCACAGCCTCATCTTTCCATACATCCAGAATGCTGTTGTGCGCAGGGCTGCATTGAACGCCGTCTATCTGTTCACACGCCTACTGGCCGGTGCTCACTCACCCACACAGCAAGTCCATTCACGCAGCCAGGCTGACCTCCGTACCTGCTGAGCCAGCAGCATACCTAGGTCTCAGCACCCACCAGCTGGGCACAGGCGGCTTGACTTGTCTCTCACTGAGGACTCCTATCTTCTGACCATATTAAATGCTACAGTTGAAACAAACAGCTCAGGAAAGAGGGAGATAACATGCAGTCCTGAGCACAACCCAGAAAGGGAAGAAGCAGGTGAAGACTTCTATTTTCAAGGTCACAAATCATGAGATCAGCTACTCTGACCTCCTAAATAATTCAAGTCATAAAGCTGAGTGAAGTTATGCTTACAGTGATGCTGATCACTTGCATCTTCTTCCTTAGATGTACCAAAGAACAGAGAACCTATTAATGCCTGCAACAGATTTTTCCAATGGTTAAGTCAATCTCACTTAAACTTTTTATTCCTCCTTAGAGCTTGCCTAAGCTCTTTCACCTACAGATTCTATCAAACTTTTAAACTGAAGATACCAAGTACCTGGATCAGTATCTTCATAGGTTTCCTTCCCAGAGCAAATCCTCCTGCATAGCTCCAACAGGTACATAGTCTGAATGCAGTCCTTCATTGCACACAGATAGGACCTTAAACTGTAACTTTCAGCTCCCAAAGGTATGTATTTGGCAGTATGGACTTCCATAGTAGCCCGAATAAATGCTAAGTACAGAGGCAGGATAGTAAGTCAGTCTTGTTTTAAGTGTACTTATTATATGCACGAAAACCTTCCTGTGCAAGAAAATGAACCATGTGGTGTTTATATGTGAAAGCATGTGTCTATACAATTATGTTTATAAGAAAGAAGTGGAGCAACACTTGCCTAAGCTCATCATCCATAAAATCAGATGCTCACACAAACTGGAGGCACAAAACCCGCCAAGCTTCTACACAGGCATCAGTGTGCATACACACGCAAAGTACATCCAGCCACCACCATGCACCTCCAGTTCACTACTTTACACCAACTCCTCCAGCAAAGCCCACTCATGCCATATACAAGAGCTTTGTTCTTCTCACACACACAATAGTGTAGCCCGGTTAGCAAGGGAAAAGATGGGTATTAAAAAAGCAACAATGGAGATGGCATTTGTTCACCCATGGCAGAAGGACCCGAGTCCAAGTGCTAGCAGGGAACACTCTTATTCTATATACAGAAGAGGAAGAGAAAGAGTCCCTTTGTCATTGGAAATTCTCCGTTCATCAGTGAACTCAAATGACAAGCTGGTATCAGGATCCGGAGGAGTCTATGAACAACTGGAAGAATCAGAGAGGAGGATCAGAGAATGAGCATCACTTCACAGCTTCTGGAATTACATTCTCAACTCCAGATCAGGGCAGTCCGTAGCATGCAATTCAACTTACCACCTCTCCTTCTAAAGCACAGGATTGCTCGGTTAAGTATGAAACACTTTCTTCCTCCGCTCCAGTGCTATTCTCTACCGTCCCCTAAACCCTCCTACCTCATGCAAAAGGCAGAAAAGCCATTAAGACAGGCTATGACAGATTTCTTAAAAAAAGGCCAATTCATTTCAGCCCATTTGGGGAATCCTATCATGATGATCAGGTATATAGAATATTTTTCATGAGTGAAGAAATGAAACTGAATGAAAGAAGAAAGATGTAGACAGAAAGAAGCATAAGTTTACTAAAAACAAAACCACAACATAACAATATATGGAGAAGCAGGGTCACAAGAAGCAAGAGCCAAAATACACAGCAGAAGCATCCCGACATCCATAGGTGCCACCAGCAGGACTGCAGTCCCTGGGGCAACACTGAGGCATGTGTGGACAAGTTACTGTGGAAGCTGTATCAAGGTGCATAGGGAGTCCTGGGGCAGAGGCACCAAGAAAGTAAAACCATTTGCACACACCAGAGTCAGAAACTGCTCTATAATCTCCTTGGACTCACCCATCTCTGGTCTGGATACAGCCTGGCAGAGAACACTTCCCCTCCAAACAGGCAGTGCCAAGTATAAGCTGGGGCATTATCACAGGAGTGAGACTGAACCGCCTCTGCCATATACCATCACCACCCATTGACCGGCTGGGTGTTTCCACAGAAAACAGGAAAGCTTCAGACATGTGCCACCAGCACCCACTGGAGAGGAGGTATTTTCCACAAGGGAAGCGTTCCCTCTGGCATGTCATTGGGGAGTTTCTGGTTATGTTCATTCTTTATTCTGCAATTACCTTCTGCTCCTCAGAGGGAGGCCAAGTACCCAACATAAAAGCATTCCCGGCTCCAGACTGCTTCCTAAGTCCTGTTCAGGAACACGTGCTTAGCTGCACAGGGGATAATCCCTTATTACTATGCTAAAGTGTGTTTGAAGTGACTGAACAGGAAAGAAATTAAATTTCCTAATGGGAAAGCAAAGCTGTGTGATTTGAACCCTCTGGACTGGACAAATGTTCAAGTTGATTACTGAAGCAACAAAAATGCCTAAAATATCTATTTCCCTGCCAGTGACATTGCAATATTCGCCTAGCCAAAAGGCATCTGAACAGCTTATATGAAGGTCTCTCCAACTCACCTTGAAGAACTCTGGGCCAGGAAAAAAGGGCCAACTTCAGACTCTGGGGAGTCCTACGCAGAGGGGAACTGCCTTGAAAGGTGTATATCACTTCAGTCCTCTGATTTTTTCTGGTGACCACCTCCTCCTTGTGAGCAGAGGTATTGGTACGATTGCTTTAATAAAGCCCTCAGGTACAAGGGTCCTCTTCCCCCAACCTTTGCACAGAGTTTTGTGCAGAGAAGAGGATGCCCCTCTGTTCCTGAGAGCTGCCTTGGCATTGCCTCACCTGCACAATGAAATCTCAGTGGACAACGATGCTCCTGCCTACGGACCCAATTCAAATAATCAAAGACTGTACCCACACCATGCACTCCTTTCTCCTTCTATGGCCCAGGCAGGCTAAGTACTGTCAGGGCCGCTACCCAAAAATTGGACATATCCCTCCTGTGTGGAGCAGCGTTTCAGGACTTACCTGGGAACACCAGGAGGAGCACGATTAGGCCGAGAAGGAACCTGAGGTGGGGGCCCAAAGGGATCAGGAGAGGCACCTGGCCTGGAGGGCACAGGGGGGGCACCACCCAGCGTGGACCCACCAGCAGGAGGTGGCCCAGGAGCCGGGCCTCGAGACCCAGGTCTGGCGGGTGGAACGGCAGGAGCTCTCCTCTGTGGCGTGGGGCTGGACGTAGGAGACCTGGCAAACAAACGGAGAAATTCAACTGCAACAACACGCCTGGCATCCCTCTGTCACCATCATGCTGCCTGCAGTGTTCCTTCTTTAGTTTCATGTCACTTTACGCACCACCCTTTGGCTTTCAAGGGCCACGCCAGGCTTCAGGTTGCCTTCAGAGCTACTTCAGGCCCCATCTAACCTAAGGGTTTAGAAGCCTCCACATCCTCTGTAAAGACATAGCAGCCCTGCATAGCCTTCAAGGCCTAGGAGCCTCCCAACACAAATACCTAGAACTCTTCATCCACAGGGAGAAGAGGAGGACTCCCCGTCTCAGTAGGAGGCCCCAGCTAGCCATACAGAGGCATCAGGCAGGTCTGTGGGGCTCTCCCCCTGAGCCTCCGGTACCTGCGTCCAGATGGTACGCTCTGCACCTGCAGCCAAGAGTCGTCCACCGGTGGGGGCATGGGGGTGCTGATAGTGCTGGTGTTGATGTCCCCGATGATGTTGAGGGCCTCTTTCAGGGCATGGTACATGCGCAGCATTTCATCGCGTCGCTGGGCCTGCTCTGCCGATTCCTCCATCAGCGTATTTTGGTCACCACAGGAGTACAGGTTTGCCAGCAACTCCGAATGGATAAAGTCCTTGGTCTGTAAATGAGCACAAAGAGGGAATGAATTTCCAGCGTCTTCCCCAAAACACTCCATTCTGTCCCCACCTCCTCTACTTCCAAGCTGCCTTCAGTTTTCCTTCATTCTTTCTCTCCCTCCCTATTTTTCCCCTTCCCTGTGCCTCCCCACCGCCATCGACCATCCTGTGATAAGTACATTGTTTATCATGAGGTGCATGATTGTCTTCGGCATGAGGTCTCTGATGGTTTTGTTGACAATCGCCATGTAGGAATCCACCAGGTTCCTGATGGTTTCCACTTGTCTCTCCAGCTGAGGGTCCATAGAGTGCATGAAACTGTCTGATCCATTCTCCTCTGCTTCACTGGCCTGAAGAGAAAAGAAGAAACAGATTGGTTCTTCAAATGTAACAAAATTAGTTTTTCATGAGAGAGCTAAGAGAAGAAAATAAGGGAACACACAAGAAGCGCATGCAATAAAAGTTAAAACTTACATTTTGAGCTGTGATTGTCAATGCACAGCTCAGCTTATATAGGCTTCACCAGCTCAGATCTGACAGCTTTAACAATAAAGCTGCACTCTTAGAAAGTTATTACACAAAGGTGAAAGGCAACGGAGACTCCTGACCAATGTTCACAGGTTCTGGCTCTAGTGAATACTCAAAGCTGTAACTTTTACTTTAAATGTTTATAGCTTCCTGAAAGGTTCTTCATCTGAGCTGTGTTTTCCACGCCCAGATTCAGTTTAGACCTGAGAATCACTCACTATGAATTAAGCCCTACAGGCTGCATCTTTATCCTCATTATACAAATGAGAAAACAGATACAGAGAGGTGAAGTAACTGCTCACCTCAGTCAGACCACAAGTAGGTGGAGTAACCTAGAAAACCTTCCTGATCACTTTAACTACAAATCCTGCACCATAAGCCATAATTATGTTTTCTTTCACGCCAAGCAGATTCATCTCTTCCTGTCTGCCTGAAATGCATTGTTTAGCTTTCTGCAAGGTAAAACCTGGGCTGTGCTGTTTGACAGCAAGAAATTGCCAAGGCTCATCCATTTGGGATCAATTTCAAAGCAGCAAAGCACAAAAGACTGCTGTCTTTCTCAATACTTATAAAAAAAAAAAAAGGATTTTATAAATAAAACCCTTTCTTTTAAACCATCCCAGTCTGAAGGATTTGCAGTAGTGTAGGAAATCGCTTATCTTTTGTTTTGGGGAACAAAATATATGAGAAAGGGCAAATTCTTTTGTTCATTTGAGCTTTTCCTGGGAAGATCTTACATAATGAAGGAATGCAAGGTCTCAGTGAGAAACAAAGTAAAGGAAGTGGACGTCAAACAGGACAGCTTAAAAAAATGAGGACGAAAAAAATCAAAAATAAGTGCGCCAAGTTTCAGAAGTCATACAAAAAGGGAGAAGTAAAAAGAAAAAAGGAAAACTCAAACCAAGAACAGAAACAAACAGCAGCAATCCAACAGAAGGTACAAAGAGGGAGAAGAAGCAAATGTCTCTCAGGAAACTGTGACAAAAGGAAAAAACAAGAGAGAACTATCTGGTGAGAGCCCCAGGGGGCAAAACAGGCAGAGAGGGTCAGACTTACTTTGTCCTTGTCCTGGCAGGCCAGTTTGAGCATATGTGGAAAAAATTAAAACAAAAAGGGACAAAAAAATAAAAGAAGATTTTTAGTTGGTCTCAGAATTTGGAGAAGATCCCATAATAGCACTGAATAAGCAAAAGAACAATCCCACTAAAATTACATAAATACCTAGATTACCCTGGAAGAGGAACAAGTGAATTGTTCAGCTAAACTGAAAATCAAAATGGGATGCTCTGCAAAGGGAATCTCGTATTGCTAGCAACAAAGGGCAATTTACTTACCTACAATGGCTACTTGTTATTCGTTACATAGGGTTTTAAGACAGTCAACCTAAGGATCAGTGTTCCTATGTCAAACCACTCCATTTGCACACCAATAGGTGGCACATGTCCTTCATGAGGATGTGTTTAAGAAGCCCAGTCTGGTTCAAAGCCAATTTGAAGTCATGTCACTGTTAAGGTCCAGTCCCTAATCCTCTTTTTTATTTTAAAAATATCACATCTGTTTGTCAGAAAATACTTTTAAGGCAAAACCCACAGTCTCCAAGTGTAACAGGAAAGATGAATGCAAGAAGCTTATTAGAAGCAACAAATAAATAGACAAGCAATTATCACTTTTCTAATGGGAAAAACTATTTAGAATAGCTTCCTCTCACAGGGGAACAGGAAGGCTTTGGACAGGAACATATATCACAATTCTTTAGAACATACTTTTAAAGCAGAGCATAATGCTGACAGCAAGTGTTGTGGGACAAGGCTAAGGGAAGAGATAAGAGGTCTTGCTAAAGCAGCATATTAAGGTATCTACCAAGCAAAAGAAAAATTCAAAGAACATCCCTTCCTAATTGGGTGGGGGAGGGAGTAGGAGAACAACTACTACTAAGCCAGGAAGCTCCTAACAAGGCTGTACAGTAAGCGTTACTGAAAAGGAATGGTGCCTTCCCTCAGACACGTACCACTTAATCATCAGGTAGTTAAATGTCCTCCTTATATTGGGAATTTAATGCCCACAAAACAAGAGAGCTAGAAGGGTTTATCAAGGCAGCCTTTGCCTACTTTATCTCCCCTTTGAAGCTACCTGTTACTTTATCCCAAGCTTCCTTGAAGGAAGCACCAGGACATACCAAAAACTAAATTTTTGTTCCAAAATGCTCTCAGCTCAGGAAAGAGACAAAACCTTCATGAACTTATTTTTAACATAAGAGGATGCAGCTATCCTTCTTAGGATACATGCCGCGTTCCTTCCCATCCCATTATTATGGCTGTAACTTACCCCAACACGCTCTGGGTAGACCCCTGCACGAAGGAAGGAAGCCTTCCAGCTATCCACCTCCTCCTGAGTCTCACAGGCCAGCTCCAGCTGCCGGTAATCCTTGTAAACATTCCTGAGAGGAAGACAAACATTTTATTCTTCTCTATTGCAAATCAGAGATTTGCCCATATGTGACAAAGATGTCAGTGACCAGAGAACCTTCCCATCATTTTAAGGCAGAGACACTTAGTCCCTTGCTAGTATCTTCATGATGTTCCTGCAGAAGGGAAAGGAAATGTTTTGTTTTTTTTTTATGAGCAAGTTTGATTGCCTCCAGATCAGTTGTGTGTTTCAACAGGGCCTGAAAGAGATTCCCTTTTCAGTTCTGCTCACTGCTGGACTTCTCCAGTGAACCCGGGCTCCCTATCTTCTATGGCTTTCCCTAGTCACTCACTAAGAACATTGATTATAAATATATATTCCAGCCACAGCCAGACCCAGGTAACCACACCAACTAGCTGAAGACTAAGGTCACACTGCAGACCATGCACTGGTGAAGAAAGAAAATGGTACACATCTGTAAGACCAGAAGGAATGAAGTCACACTTTAAGTCCCCCGTCTCCTCCAAAAATGGCTATCCCTTAAAGGATACGCACATCTTTCCCAGACAGCTATCCCAACGCACTCATCTCTACTCCCTCCTATCTAATATTAGGTAAAGCCTGTCCCTAGCTTCAACAGTTTAGCTTGTTGAGATGCGAGCATACCTCTGTTCAGTGTTGAAGAGAGCAAAGATGTGTTTGCTGGACATGAACCCCTTCTCAACATCTCGCAGCTTCAGGTTATCCACTGGTAGCATATACTTCTTCTCCTTCTCCTGAAAAGGGGAGCAGTAACAAGTCACTCACTGCTCCAACGAAGCCTCTACTCCACCAGCACAGAGGAATCGGTCAGCTATACAGCCCCCACATTGCCAGGGAGGCATTCTCAACCCAGGTCCTCTGGTCCCTTAAGTCTGAGAGGAAAAGGGGACCTCTAGAAACAAGAGTTTGTCCTTCCCGACTGCTTTTGCCATGTGGCCCAACAACCCTGCCCTATTAACTCCTCCAGGAGCAGGCAGCAGCATGGCACTGTCCCAGCTCCCCAGGTCATGATCAACACCAAGGTCCTCACTCTTCCCAGCAAGGGGTCGGTCAGCACCAAGACCCTCACCAGCCACTTGACACCCAGAGCAGGTCTGCCTCATACCTCTGCTCTCAGGACAGCATTAATGGGGGGAAACACTGCTGCTGGTCAGAGAGGGGGCACAGCAGCCTTCGCAGCTCCACTGTCACCGCATCAGTGGTTTAGTTCTAATCACTGCAAGCCTATATCCAGGTTCAAGAAAAGCCAGGCATGTGATAGAGAAGCTGGTTTGACACAGAAGTTATGGACTATATCAACTTAAATTTACCTCTTCAGAAAAGCTGACTTTCTCATTTCATCCTATCACTGTCCTACACTCTATTGGGTACCATGAACCCTTTTAAAGTATTAAGCAATAATAAATATGCATCAGAAGATCAAAGAGCAGATCTGGCTACAATAATATAGGTTATGTAAGGTTACCTGAAGGCCGCCTGTGTTGGAAAAAAAAAAAAAAAACAAACCACAAAACAGGTAACTGCTCATTTATGAAAATCTCATGCTCTGAATGATTAGAAACTCAAGCAATATGGGCATTTTACTGCTTGGTGAATGTTAAAAACAAGAGTGAAATTCTAGTGACCAGACTCTGAGAGCTCTAAGAGACCCCTTTTTCAGAGTAACCGCAATCCTCCAGTCTGGTTCCTATGAGATATCTCCAGCTAAACACAGAACAAGACACCCAAAACCCAAACTCAACATTTTTGACCCTAGGTATCATCTTAAAAAAAAAAACACTTGATCTTAATTTTTACATTTACATTCAGAAACTACGTCAGAAATCATTCTCCCTGCATAGTCTCAAATCTAGATCTACAGCAAACTAACAGAAGTGAGTTTAGTTTAAGGTCCCCATTTGGAACATCCCGTTCCAGCTGGGTATTATACCCCAACGTAACAAGAGAGGGAGCCATCACACTGGTCTCCAAAAGGCAGAATGCAGCTATCCAAGACTGAAATAGAAACAGAGCATACTTTTGTGTGCAAGCACGCATGTGTGACTGTCCCCTTGTGAGCATCTTGTGTGTTTGTAGGCCTTTCTCTGCCAGAAACAACAAAACATGATTGCTCTCAGGGGAAACAAGAATGGAAAACAAAGATGGTCAGTGAGCAGAGATCCTACAGGTTTAGCTAGAAAAGAGGGGCAGGGCAGAGCCTGGATGACAAAGGACAACAAAGCTGCTGAGCCCAGATGATGGCAAGTCCAGCCTAACGTCCTCTTAAGTTTCAGTTAAATTGACTTGACTTTGCTAAGGATATCAGACACTACGGAGTTCAGACATGCCCCAAAGATCAAACCATACCAGTCCATTACAAGATTTATGCAACAAGAATATCCCAGAAGCCAGCATCTAGAAAACAGAAGAGATCACTTGGGTAGCTGCCAAACTCTCCATTCTCTCCCACCAAAGATGCCAGGCTATGAAAGCAGGAGAGCTCTTCCAAGCAAGCTCCCCTGGATTTTTTTAATATTGTTGATCAGTCTAGATTAGAGGTGGGCAAGCATTTTTGTGATGGGACATCTGTCAGCTAGGTACTGGTCTCAGAGCCACACAGACCACTTCAGGTTCTGTAAGCCACAAACACCTTCCAGCTTTCTATTACTTTGGGTTATTACTATGCTGAATTAGGTTGAACTAGTGACCTAGAAGTGAAGTACACCAACTGCTAAGTCCCTAGGCAATACAGACCATCCCTGCTGCAGTCTCACTTAACTGGAACTGCCTGCATCCATCCCACAGAGTCTATGGGCTAGTCAAAAAATAATTGATGTTAAAGCTGTCTGAGAAAAATAATTCTGCATTAGAACCACATCATTCCATAGAAATTTAGCAATGGAGTCATTCTTCAGGAAAAAAGTCAAAAGCTAAGGGAATCCCGTGTCCCAGATACAAAACACATGGTCTTTGCCAGCGTTTCAACTTTCACCCCTTCCAAGCTCTTGCATAAATGCTGCCGCATGATCAAGACAACCCTATCTCTGCATGCTGATCCTTCCATACACCAGAGGAAAGGCGTATATGTCTGTCTGCCAGCATAAAATCTCAGTCCTCTGACTCTGAGGTAGCAAGAGCAATCAAATGGCAGCTGCTGGCACAAGGCAAGAAACCCCCAACCCACTCATGCTGCAGGGCAATGTGCACCGCAACGAGCCCCTGCCGCTCTCCACCTCCCCACACCTCCCCCCTCCCAGTTCCCCACTTCAATCTTTCCAGCTTCTCAGTTTTCAACCCAGCCTGTTTTATATCAACACTCTGACTTCATTTCCTGAATGCAGAGACAGGAAAGCGTGGAATGAGCTGCCAAGGGCTGAGCCTCTCAAAACTTTGGCTGAGCCCTCTGCCCATATGTTAGCAATCTGGCAGTATGTGCTATGGCTGAATAGCATCCTGGCCAAGAGGGGAAAAGGGCTTCTCTCTCTAGCTTTCCAGACTTGGAAGCAGGGGGGGAAGAGAAGGAAGAGCCAGCACACATCGAAATGGGAAAGTAGTTTCTGAAATACCGTATTCAAAGCCCTCAGTCTGATCCCAAGAGGCTTATAAGATATCTCCCCTCGTCTATAAGAAAAAAAAATCATCAGGCAAAACTCTCTCTCCGCAGCAAAGTACCTGTTATGTAAAATGTGCACATTGGCTGCAAGTTAATCTGTAGAGCCGTGAGGCCAAGCAGAGGTAGTGAAGTGGCAGAAGCACTCAGACTGGCCGTACCAAACGGAACACGGATGCTCAGTGTTGGCTAGGGAGTGTTGTAGGCATGGGGCTAGCTACCCCTAATCAGGGCTGCTGCTCCCAACGGGAGTCACACCGCTTGCATGGAGAACTGCAGGAGATGACTGCAAGCTACTTGCAGAGGCAGGATAAGTGCCAGAGGATTACTCCCCCGCCCCCAACACAGTGCAGATACAGCCATATGGCTCTGTACTTTGCATCCACCAAAGAAAGAAAATACGCAGGGCCAGGAAGGAGACCAGGACCCATCAGCCATTCCAACTGTGGGGTGTGAAACACAATAGCTAGAGGAAAAAAGGGATGATGCAGTTGCAGCCTGATGTTGCAACATCCTTATTGCAACACCCTTATTGTGGCTACACACCTCCTTATTGTGGCTAAATTCTAGAGATTGGTTTTGGCCAGAGACCACAGTGGTTTGCACTATCATCTGAATTATTTGTTGCTATCCTGTAGGTAATAACCTACAAGAAGTTCACAAAATTCAGGAGGCAGCAAGCCAGCCTGACTCAAAGCATTTCCTCCATTCAACTGGACTGCCTCAACAGCAAGTTAAATTTTCCTACTCTCTGATACATGTGAAATGAAGCTGACAGATGCATGTGTGGGCTCCCCTAAGGTTGGAAATTGGCACTCGCCGTACAAGAAAGTAATTGGCAGAATTATTAGGTCTCAGTTTGCATTTGGAGCACAAAAACTAATTAAAGGTTTCCCTGCAGCTGTTATGACAAACACCTCCTTTTGCACAGAGACAGGGGTTTGTGGATATGAGAGAAAGAGCATTGCCATTGTTTTAATTGGTGGCCATGTGAAATTAGGAGAAATTCATCTTGCTTAAACCTCTTAATGTCCTTTCCTTCTTGTAAGACAAAGTGCTATGGGTAAACAAACCTGCCCCAGAGATGACTAGAGTTTCAGTCAAACCATTTGTGTTAAACACATGCATGGCATTTTGGGAACTCCTGTAATAATGTTTTTCCATTTGAGTAGAGTTTTAACATCATAATTGATAATAAACACACTGCATGAATACATGCACACTACAAGATTATTAGGAAGAAGTCTCTGAAAAAACAGTCTGCAATATTTGAAATCAAGTTAGTTGAGCATTTTAAGTTGAACCACCAACCCCACCCCCTCCAACAAGACATTACCAACTGCAAAGACAAGAAGCAAAAGCAAAGAAAATGCATATTAGAAGAGATGAATTTCTGAGCTGTGATTCTTCCAGGAAGCCCTAGTCACCCCACAACATACATGCATCTCATGACCATCTTCCCAAAACACAGCCCATCTGTATCACTTAACTTTTAGCCTCAGAGCATAACTTACTGAACACTGCAATCACCACTCCAAGCTGCAAAGCAGCTGTAATGGCTTGTTTACATTAGAAAGCTGCATTGGTTTAACTTAAACAACACATCCTAAGATTTTAAGCTGATTTAGTTCAAAAGCTCTGTGGACACTAGGCCTGGACTCATGTGATTAATCACAACCATTACTGTTGGCTTAGGAAGCACAGCAACAGTAATCAACTCACCTACACAAAAGTAAGGATTTTTATTTACATCAGCTGAAATAACGTGCAGATTTAAACATGCAGCTAAGTGCAACCCTAGGAAGCCATCAGAGGGTGTATAAGAAAGCACAGGCAGAAACCAAGCAGCTTAAGAGAGGCTACAGAACCCAAAACTCCACTGTCACGACCTGTCTAAAGTCACAGCAATGCCCATCAGCCTCTGCAAAAGACAAGCAGGCATTTCTTCCTACACCTGTCCCTGTGCCAGGACAGGGATGAATCGTCCCTGAGTATTGACTTGCTTTGGCGAGGCAAAGTGCAGCACACATGCAAAGTGTTGCACACCTCCGGGAACAGGAGAGGGTTGGTTACCCTTCCCCAGTGCATGGTTAGAGCCAAAGTGGGAGTCCTGGGTATTCCTGTTTTTGACCACAAATCTTAACC